TACATGAGTTTCAAACTATTATTGAACCTCCTGCCGGGTTACCTCCTTTACGAGACATTCAACATAATATTGAGTTTTTTCCGGGGGCAACCCTATCGAATCTTGCTCATTATTGGATGAACCCATCCGAATACAAAATCTTGAAAAAGAACTTAATTTCTATAAGTAAACTTACCAAGGATAATAACTGTACAATCATTTTTTCTGCTAATCAGTTTACTGTGAATAATCAATAGAGGAAAATACTAGCTAAAGGCCATGAACAAGAAGGCTTATATGCTTTTGGAAGTCAATAACAACTACTACAAATCTTGTTTGTTACAACTAGCTCTAATAAAGCAAGTATCTCAATCTGGCACACGCGATTGGACATTTTAATGACAATTTCTTAAAAGATTCTTTCAAATAAACTGCTTATTGATGTATCTGATTGGAAGAAAGAACATGCTATTTGTGTTAATTGTCAACTTAGTAAAAGTTGCAGGCTTCCTTTCATTGATCAAGTATTCTTTAAGTACTCATTCTTTAGATAAAATTCACTTTGATTTGTGGGGTATGCTCCCATTTTATCTTGTCAACAATTTTTATGTTGTGTTTATGAATGATTACTCTAGATACACTTGGTTATATCCATTAAAAAGGAAATCCGAGTTCTTTACTTGTTTTTTGAAATTTCAAAGGATGCTTGAGAACCATAGAAATGAAAATAAAGATTCTCCAAAGTGATGGAGGGGGAGAATTCAAATCTCTTGCTCTTCAAAAACACTTGGAAGAAAATGAAATTCACCATCAATTTAGCTGCCCTCACACTCCTCAACAGAATGGGATAGCTGAGAGGAAGCATAGACATCTTGTGGAAACCACTCTATTATTCCAATCTAATACTCTTTTAAAATATTGGCTAGATGGATTTCTTAGTGCAACTTTTCTTATAAATAGAATGCCATTAAAAACTCTAAATATGAAATATTATTTCTTGAAATTTTTTCACAAGGAACCTAGCTACAAAAATCTTAGAGTATTTGGGTGCAAATGTTTCCCATATATAAGAGACTATGCTAAAAATAAATTCTCTAAAAAGACATACCCTTGCATTTTCATTAGATATAGTCCTTCACATAAAGGTTTCGATGTCTTGATCCCAACACAAATCGTATTTACATACCACAGCATGTCATATTTGATGAAGAATATTTTCCCTTTGAAAATAATTGTACTAACAAATATGTGCAGCCACTGGTAGTGACTGATTTTTCAGGTTTAGAAGAATGCATTGTTCAAGGAAATGATTGTATTGAATACATTGCTACAGAAAACAAATCTATTGGAGAAAAAAATCCAATGTTGAAGTGGCTACACGAAACTTGCAAGACATCACAGTAGATGAGATAAAGAATTACCAAGCAAAACCTAAAAGGACTCCATCAATTACCACAACATGTATGCGGGAAGGAGAAGTCCAATCAACCACTACACAAGAAGAAGAATCCCAGCCTATTCAAAATTATGCACCAAATCGAGAAGAAGTAATGCACACTACCTATACAAGACAATGTGATCATGATAGTTCTCCATTAAGGATTTCAGAAGAAATAAACCAGCAATGGACAAACACCTAGAGCAACATTGAAACTATGCCTCACACTAATGAGCCCCCGAACCTTTCACTTAGTCACTCTTCTCATGAACTCCCTGACATTAGTAATCAATTGATCATTGACTTGACTCCGTTATGTGCAGGACAAACAAAATCTGTAATGACCCCAATTTTTATATGTCATTAATAATATAATATTAAGATAATTACTCATAAAACATAATTTTATTAAAATAAGATAAGATAAAAACTTGTATTTTCATCTAAAAATGAAAACGATAACTTAATAAGACTTAACTTATAAATCTTTAGCAACGGAAATCACAAAGTTATTATCCCTAAATAAAACAAGTAAAAATGTGGTATAGTCATAATTAAAAGTATAGATTATAAATAAAATTCAACTGTGTCTCATATCTCCTCCTCGTCAATGCCCAGGTCATCATCGACGTTATTCTCGTCAACTATATAACTATCTGTAAAAAAATTGAAACTAACATGGTATGAGTATAAAAAAAAAAAAACCCAGTAAGTAGTTCCCATCACAAGGAACCTTTCATGCTCAAACACACACATCATGCTTATATGCATGCATACCTCAACCTAACATATAAACCAACGAACAACTTAACTTAACATACTTGTGCTTGCTAGCATAAACTTACATATCTAAATCCTTAATTTGGCGCCATGCTATACAGAAATACCCCATACCATAACCGTCAATTCCGCATGTAATATTTATAGGGTAATTACCC